TTCATTTTTCTTATACTAACTTACAAACGAATTTACGCCACTTGAATATTTTTGGAAAGAAATACTTATCCTGATGTTAGATGCTGAAATACATCTTATGGCAAAGATCTTGAAAATACTACTTGTGGAAGAAATAGACATCAAATCAAGACCGTCCAATAGCTAATGATTATTTCCTTCACACATCATTTGGATGAAGGATTAAAAACAACACAAATATCTCAAATCGTGAAAAGCTCAACTACCTCACCTCGTGAACCCACCTAATTTGAAAGGAGAGATTTGGACGCACCTGAAAGTGTTGTGCTCCAACCCGGTATGACGTGCTTCACTTAAGGCTATAAGCATTTTAAATCATTATGTAGTATATTTGTAATTATAAAATTATTTCAATTACAATTTGGTGGAGAAAATTAAAGATCAACTCACGCACGAATTAGCTTAAAAAATATCTCCACCTTTATGCACATCGAATATGCTCCTACAGCAGCAATATGAGAGAGGATTTAAGAAATCTGAATTGATTCATGCCTCCTTTTGGCTGAACAAACATGAATTATTATTAAAATCATGATCCACCTACTGTTCTAGCAATTCCTGAGCAGATGCAAATATTCAAAATCATGGTGGGGCGTGGACATGACCGTGGAGGAGCCGAGGACGTTAGCTGTTATCGTGGACGAGGTTCGTGGAGATATGTTGCCTTATAACAATTGATCAAGTCGGTGGCCAGGTAAAATAGACTCCCAGAAGTGGATAATAAGATAGAAAATGAAGAAAAGAAAACATTATGAGGAATTGTTTGGACGCTCTTTTATTTTGATGATGTTTAACAACAATTTATACTAATGTTGTTTGTCTAGTGTTTGTGTTTATCTATTTATTGTAGATAAACACATGTTGGAGATTGCATGGAATCAGAGCGAATCTCAACGATCATAATCCAATGGGTTGCTGGTTAGGAGTGAAGCATTCTTTCAAGTTAAAATACAATTTCAAAAGCTTCATACCGTAAAGTGTACAAGTCAAGTTATTGAAAGATAAGATCAAAGCTTGGTTAATAGTTTAGCAGAGTTTTAATATTATGTGTTTAATATTTAAGTTCAATACCATTACACAAATTTTATTGGTTTCTATGTATATAAAGTATATATATATATACACATTTTGGGTCAATTATATAATATATATAATAACAATAAAGTTTTTGGCTATAAATAAATATTTATATCATACTGTTTGTTTTTATATGTATTTCGGTTTGCTTTAATTTCATAGATAATGAAAAATCTATATTTACTATTCATATATAAAAATGTTTCATATTCTTTGTATTTGTGAAAATACCATATATCATTATTTATAGTCTTCATAACATAGTTTACATTTTCTTCAAGTTAAAAAATCATTTTGTATTGTTTCAAACATGGTAACTAAATGTCAAAATCATATGTTCACATTTTCATGTTTAGGACTATTTTGGGCAAATGATGATATTTTTTATTTGGGAGGTCTTTTTCAGATATAAATAATATTGTAGCATGTTCATTATTGATATCTCCTAATCATTTTTTCAAAGTTATTACATTTTTTGGATTAGATATATATATAATAATATAACAAGTGTTTAAAATAGAAAACTATTTACAAAAGATGTTTTTGATCATATGTCAGTTTGGAGTCGACGCCCCTCGAGTCAGAGACTCAGTAATGTTTATTGATGGCTCGTGGTCGCACAGTGGGCGGATAGAGAGATAACTTCGTGTCGACTGCACGGTCGACGTATGTTTTTCTAGGAGCCTAGTTTTGTTTTGGTGTGCCGGCAGATAGACCGCCGAGTCTTCATAGTCGACCGCGTGCCAAGTCATTTTTGTACAAGAATCATATTTTCCCCTTCATTTAAAATTCCCTTTTTGGGCCCGCTTTTTGTCTTTCTTTGGGGTTTTTGTGTGTTTTCTCTTCCTATGACAACCCTCAAACCCTTTCTAAAGTGAAAAAAAAAGTAAGTTTTTAAAATAAGAATATACATAAAGGGTTTAAGTTGGTTTAGTTGTTTTAAGTTTTGGGGTTTGCTTTACAAAGAGGAGGCTTACAATCAATTGTTTGAGGATTCATCTTCAATATTCATATCCTCTATTTGTGTTTATAGAGATGTTTCCTTACATAACTTCCTAGCATTTTTATATTGTATTTCAATATCAATTTTATTATAGTTCTTATATATCTAAATATTTATTTAATTCTAATTAGTTACCACCCAACATTGAAGCTTATAAATATTTCATATATATATAATTGAGGGTTGTGAGAGGTCTATAAACATTGAATGTGAGCTTACTTGAGTTTTAATTATTGTAAGACAAACATTATTTATATTATGAGATTGTTAAAGTTTCGGTATAGCTAGAAACCAAGGTTGTAGTGTGTATATATATTATATATACAGTTTCTCTAATATACACTACTACTATATATATATATATATACATATATTATATATATACATATATTATACATATATAAAAATATATTATATATACATATGTTATACATATTATATATATTTATATATACATATATAATATAATACATAAAAATAAAAAATAAAAAAATAAAAAAAATAATCCGGGCCGGGCACAAAAGAGCCGGCCCGGCCCGGAGCCCGGACTTGTCCCGAGTTTCCGGGCCGGGCCGCGGCCCGGCCGGGCCCGGGCCGCGGGCTGTTTTGGACAACCCTAACTATAAGATACCATATTATTTACTTAACTTTTCTTGAACAGTCAAACCTCTAGAAACTTAAGCATAAATGAAATTCATTTTTGGAGAAAAATACAATGTTACCTCTCTCCAGTAGTTTGATGCTGAGAATAATTCAAAATATAGATGTATAAGGGGAAAAAAGATCCATATCTTACAATTTCTATGGGATTCCGACATGTACTTCAACCTATGTTGCATGGGTACTTCTACTTGGAGTTGTGCACGTTGTAATTGTACCTAACACTGAAATTTCAGTGGCACTCTTTTTATATTTGCATATGCTTATTCCAATACATGCTTAATTATATCATACATGTTTTAATTTAAAACACTCATTATATACTTCTTGGATGTATATCCCACACTTCAAATGCAATTCTTGGAACTTGTTGGACACAAGTCAGGTTTGTTTCATCCCGTGTCCAGTTCAAAACTATGATTATAAAGAGTCTTTTATATCAAGTTAAAAACTATCAATTATCTAATTTACAGATCTATATTGTAAAAGGAACATAACTTTTATGGAAAGTTTATTTCATAGCACATGAAATGATAAATAATATTGGTCTCATGTAAATTAATGTTATATATAAATTATTATTATATATACATTTATGCGTACCCGTGTCCTCGTACCGTCACCCATACTAGTGTCTTGTAACTTAGACCTCGACGAAGATTTTAAACACCATGTTTCTATTGTGTGATCTAATAAGTGCGCAACTCCTTGGCCTTTTCTCTTCATTGTCTCGAGCTCTCATCTTTTCACCTCTCCACACCGAAAGATTAGGAAGCCATTGAGAAAGAAGGAAAGGGATGAGAGCAGGGGCAGATCCAGAAACTTTTCTCAGTGGGGTCAAGACTACAAGTCTACAGTATGACTACTATATTAATATTTTTAATGTAAATACTAATTACATGAAAACCAAATAAGCATATTTATGTTCAAAAAAAAAAATATAGTCAATAGAAGAACCTCAGTAAAACTCTTTACAATTGTTTCCTTCATGAAAGAGGAGCGAATATAGTTTGGCATTTAGGCACTCATGAATAAGGTGAAGATAAAAAACAAAATTAAAATCTAATTGCATACCCTTCAGTGTTTGCATTGTCATGGTAGTAGAGCTGGGTGAACAATGGAAAGAACCAATATTTTTATCATGTGATTAATCCATATTTAAACACAAAAATATAAAAAAGATGAATACTTTTGTTCCTGAGAAGTTGAGGTTGGACTTTGGGGATCCAGCGAAAGGCAAGCATTAGACAGAAGTGGTGGTCCACAGGAGAGGAGTTGAGAGCAGAGATGCAATTGAGAATTGAGATCGATGGGCCAGTAGAGTTTGGTAAAGGATTATGCAATATGTCGGGTTTGAGACTTGACACATTGGATGTTTGCATTAAAAAGGCTGTATTGAAGTCAATAGCTGTAAAATTTTGGGGGCAAATTGCAAAATAAGCATAGTAGATTATGCAATATGTCGGGTTTGAGACTTGACACATTGGATGTTTGCATTAAAAAGGCTGTATTGAAGTCAATAGCTGTAAAATTTTGGGGGCAAATTGCAAAATAAGCATAGTACTCAGTTAAATTCTATGGGGTCATGGGGCAACTACTTCCACTGCCCCTAGTGCGAATCCACCACTAGATGAGAGCATTATAAGCATTTACACAAACACACAAGTTCATTTGTATGTGTCGAAGACAATAATATTGCAAATATGTAAATTGATTTAGAATATAGATTAGTAGTATAATAAAGAAGAATTAGCAACAAGGATATTTGTTTACAATAATTTACTGAAAATACATAAGAAAAAATTGTTCTAAAAGTAGGTCTGATGATTTGTTTTATATTAAATTTATTAAAATTTTATTTATATGATTAAATACTACAAGAGTGTTTGAAAATATAATTGAATGAAGGGAAAGAATAGAACGCCATGTTGAGGCTCGATGAGACTACTTTCATTGCTAACTTAACTACGTTAGGTAGAGTGAGGGTATCTGACTTGTAAAAGCACAGATCAATTACATTATTTGTTTCAGCTTGTGTATATGAGTCTTTCTCCATTCATGCCTTTGCACATGCATCAGTTGGTTTCTTATGTGTGATACTACCCCCTCCAGTTACCTTCTAGATGAATGATTTACCTTGTATGTGTCAATTGATGGAGTATTATATTTTTCAGTTCAGAGTTTCAGTGATGGTTTAAACTCAGTTTCTTCTTTTACGCAGGTGGTTGTACCAATTTTGGACTGGGAGACAACAACCTTCAAGCCACTGATACTTGCGTTGCTACTTTTTCTTTCAATCGCAATATTTCCTTCGCTGCTGTTACCTTCTGCACCAAGTATGTGGTTAGCTGGGGTTACATTTGGTTATGGGTATGGATTTTTGCTGATTATGGCAGGGATAAGTATAGGAATGTCATTGCCATTTTTCATTGGTTCGCTCTTTAGTTGTAGAATACAGGTGATTTCATGCCCTTTGGTTTCATGTAGGTCTAATCAATCACATCTAGCTATTTTATAAATTCTGATTCTGATGATTTAATGCAGAACTGGCTGGAGAAATATCCAGATAAAGCATCCGTTATTAGACTAGCTGGAGAAGGAAGTTGGTTTCATCAATTTCGTGCTGTGGCCTTAATCAGAATTTCACCATTTCCATACATTCTTTTCAATTATGCTGCTGTGGCTACAAATGTGAAGTATGGTCCTTACATATGTGGTTCTCTGGCAGGGACGATACATGAGACTTTCCTTACGATATACAGGTCAGAACTCTTAATCCGCTAACTCCCATTATACTACTGCTCTTGCTTATTTGCTTTAGTTTTAATAACCTCTAGGATGATAAGCTATCTGATAGGAGACAAACTAGTTTTCACACGTTACCAACAAATAAGTAATTTTAGGATTACAAACCTAAGAATTTAGATGTGATACTTGGTTAAGCATATATTCCTGATGTTATAAATATAACTAATATTTTCAGTGTCATCATGGTCTCCACTTTCCTACACTAGCAAGTAGAAGCAGTCTGATGCATGTGGGAGATGTTGGTTGCGTATTGTATTGTTATCATGTTTCTATAATTTATAGTTAAAAACATTATTGATAATTTGATATAGTATTTCTTGCTATCTAGGATTGAGTTGTTTTTTTTTGTTCAATATGATTATATATGGTGCCGATTCTATAGGGGAACATGTGTAGTTCATTCCAAGATAAATTGGCTATTTAACTTAGGTATATACAGAGTGAGTTTTATAGGATAGTTGGAATTTGTTGACATTGTTTTATTTTTCTAAATTATAGACGTGGAATTTAATGTCAATACATTTGTATATAACTATGTCTAGTTGTGATAATATAGTGACTCACCAAGTGGCTCACTTTCTGGCCAATCAGCTTTATTTACGGCCTTAAACTATAACTCTTTAACTCGTCAGTTGATGCTACCTCTAATCCTGTTATAAATGTTCAAAGTACCTTTAAATAACTTTGCCTCATCTAATTCTCAACTGACGCTACCTCTAATCTTTCACTATAAGTGTTTGTACTTGCTCGACTTATTTAACTAAGTTTATATTTAGGATTGCAAGTAGAGAAAATGTGATTGTAAAAGTTTGTTAATTTAGTATTCCTTACTTCCTTCCCTGCTCTGTCAAAAGCACTGAATCCCTACAAAGGGAAGCTAAAAAGGCACAAAGATGAAATACATAGTTTCTTGTAGCAGTATTGATCCTAACATTAGTTTCATATGTTTCACTTCCTTCAAATTATCCTTTACCAAGACATTTTTATTGCCTTGAGTGAAACCATATGCAACTTCAAGTAAAATGCAAAGAGGAGAGTGTTTATTTCAAGATCTTGGTTCCATTGTTGAATTATAAAATCTAAAATTATAACCCTCAACCCTCAGCATGGCATGTTTATGGTGCAGCGGAAGAGATCTTTAAGCGGAAGAGACCTTTAACATTGTAACACAGCTATCCCCGCAGGGGCACGTTTGACTATTAAGTTTTAATTTTAATGCCCAATACTCATGACTTTGGAGTTCTCGTGCAGTGGAATGGACCTTTAACACCCACATTATATTTGTAACCGTGTTTTGAGTCTAAATATGTATTTGAAGCTATCATTAAATGGCCACATATTTTGCAGCCATGTTACTCTTTACAAAATCTTTGCGGTCCGTGTTCATGATTTTAAGATATCCTGTTTTCTTTGATACATCCATTTTGTATTCTAATTCCTTTCCATTCAATTCTTCTTACAATATGTTTAAAATGAAATTGTTTTGCTTCAAATTTAAATTCAATGGTTACAAATACAAATTTGATATATTTCAAAGAATATGCGGTTAGTACTAGAAAGGCACAAATTTCCTAGAAGACAAATTTCCTAGTTGTCACCTCCCGGAAGCAGAAGTTATGTGGATCAAGGTTCTTTATTTCTCTACAGTCGCACCACACATAAAAATTAAGGTTCACAGAATAATGCGTGGTGTATCATCATTTTTCTAAATATAGGATAGTTTGTGTGTGGCTTATTCTTGCATTTTCATCAGTATAGATTAGTGAGCACTTGGCACAATCATATAAAGAAACACTTCATACTCGGTCTTTCTGTACTTCAATTATTTTCTAGCCCACATTTTGTTTTTCTGTTAATGGAAGACAAATAATTCAGCCATTCAGAAAACCCAGTACTTAAAAGAGTCAGCCTGAAATCTCAAGAGCATTTGTGCACTTCCCTTTTCATCACTTTAGGACTTTTGCAAAGCTGGAGGTTTAGCCTTGTTATCCTGATGCCATACTGTTTAACAGATTGACCCAGTTTGCCTCCAAGTGTGAGTCATAAACTGAATTTGACTATCTGATTTCACCAAAAATGACATTTATGACACTTGGACTGGGCATATATGACCACATACTGATGGCTTAGAACCAGAGTATCCATGGTGCATCACTATGGACTAAATCATTGTAGAAATCTTGTATTTAATTTAAACACTAGGTTTCAATAAGTTGTATCTACTGTGGTTATAATGTTCACTGATATTTTATGGAATTCATATCAGAATCAGACTCCTTTAATGGAAGTTTGTTCTTCTCCTTTAAGTAAACTTAACCATTAACCATATCAAGTTTCCAATTGAACTTGATTAGACTTCACATCTAGAAATAAGTTCCTTTCAAGCCTCCATTCTCAACTTGATATATATTTTGAACTAACGTCTTATCTATTTCCTCCTTATGATGTCCCTTGGTGTAGCTTTCCATGATTAACCTACTTCACAAAGCATAACAAAACTTCACGAAGCATTTGAAAAACCATGCATATCAGGGAAGTTGAATCACAAAGTCGGTTATATAGTTATGTTATAATCAGTTATGATTTATCTTAGAGTACGGTCCGATAGTTAATCACAGTGCTGACAGTGTGTTGATACATCTTACTCCAGATTTATCTTAGAGTACGGTCCGGTAGTTAATCACAAAGTCGGTTATTATGTGCAAATTACACGGAAGGTAGGATATGTAGTAACTCATGCAGTATAATAGAAATCGAGGAACACTTGACTTCATTGTGCTAATTGATACCAATTTTTTTTCAGTTTCTGAAATACTACTGAAAAAATAAGGATATCTTTGATCAAATATAACTGTTTTTGTTCAATAAAAAATTGAACTTATATGAGTATGGTGGTTTAAGAAAAGTAGGAAAGTCTTTCCCCACCATCTTTAACTAAAGGCTCAATGCTAATATCTCTAACAGAACTATATTTGGAAGACCCAAATTATGAAGCAGAAATGAAATTTCAATGGAAATTTAATAGTAATCTAAGAATTAAATTCGTCTAGTAAGAAATTCTTGAAACTTGTGGAACTGAGATCCACATAACTCATGATCCGCCAGTATCTTAAGTTATATCAACTTCAGAAAAATGATATTATGTAGTCAATACTTGCTATGACTAGCAAAAAAACATAAATATAGTGATTCTTCACTTGCTAGGTTCTGTCTGATTGGGTAGTTTTTTTGTCCTATCTCGTTTTTCCTAGTGAGACCGAAAACCACTTAGTTATATGATCAACCAGTATTGTTGAAGCTTGCACCTTGAGATTTACACGAAATATCACGGGACAAATTTTTAAACCGACCACTTTTCAAATTTATTGGGTAAAATCGACCGCATGAGAAAAAAATAGGCAAAGCCGAGTCGGTTTGCAACCGACCCTGTTTTAGCGAACTTGCACGGGACTTCCAGTATTCCGTGCAGTTCGCTTAACTCCCGTCAACACCAAAAGCCAATTTGGCTCTCGTGGACCGCACCGGCCCACCCTCCCCACCCCCCCCCACCGCTCCCCACCCCCCACCCCCCAAGCCCAAAAAAAAACCCCGAAACCGCTACAGTCGCCTACCCCCGCATGCATCCCCTAGCCCGCTAATCCCGTCGAGCCCGCCGACCCCGTCGACCCCACATCCTCCAAGCTCCGATCAAGGTCTGATTTTGTTTAATTTTGCTATTAATTTTTGACGAGGGATATGAAAAATATTTTGGTTGTTAATTTTGCTGTTAATTTTGCTAGAATTGGGTAGGATTAGTTTTTATTTTGTGCAATAGGATGAATGATGCGATTTGGGAGTTAGGGTTTAGCAATTATTTACATATGATGAATATTGATTAGGGTATTAAATTTGATGAATAATATTTTTGGTCATGTTACGGGTTACCTTCCAGTCGGAGCAATTGTAGAAGATGAAGCAAATGATTTAGATCATATTGAAGAAAATGATATGCAAATTGATAGCATGCATGTGGTAGCTGGAATCGATGATGACACTCGTTGGATGGAGCAATTTAATGTTAACAATGATTATGTGGAAGCCGAAGATCCATTGCTCGACGAGTTTCATAATGAGTATTGGATAAATACTTCTCAAGCTGGATTTGTTGATGTTAGTCCAAATTTTCTAACAACTTGAGGACTTCACTTTTAAAAGGGGATCTATTCGAGAGCAAGGAGGCACTGATCTTTGCAATCTGAGAATGGTCCATCAAGAATCGAGTCAAATTCAAGCCGGTAAAAACTAATGCAACAAATTACAATATGAAATGTTGCTTTAACGAGAAGATTGAAGTAGAGAATGCAAATGAGCAAGATGAGAGAAATAGAAAATGTCCAAATATCATGTTGTAGAGTAGTAAACGGGTGTCTTGCCTACAACATAAACCAATCCTATTATTCTACCCTTTATGACTGAACCAGGTCTCAGTGGCGAATGAAGCGCTTGAATCCAGCTGTTTTCACTTGTTAGATGACCATATATGTTGTTTTTTAAACAACGATTAATCTCTGAACCTCTTGCTCAAGCCTTTTTTTTTCTCAGTTCCTATTGAATGGTGAATTGACAAGTAACCCAGAAATTCACTCTTTAATCATTTTAGAAATATTTTGGTAGAAGTTTGATGGAACAATGTTTTAGTTGTGTATGCATGTGTTGTTCACACATGACATTTGAAAGTATGGGGTGACTTAGTTCAGATAATTTGAAATGGCAATATAATGATTCCTTTCTTATTAGGATTATTTATTTCATGACTGGCCGTTTTCTTGTTTTATGATGCTGATCTACTTTTGACAACAGTGGCACACTAATTTGGAGCTTGGCTGATGCTAGCAACAGAGGAGACGTAATGTCAGTTCACCAGATCATCATTGATGCCGTTGGCCTTTTTGCTACCATTTCTGCTACCATTATCATCACTGTATACGCCAAGAGAGCTCTTCATGACCTCCACGCTGACAAGGTGAACTCCCTTACTTGCAGCTGAGACAAAAGAATTGCCTCGTGTTCTTCTTTCCGCTTGCTAAATTTCTACCAACAGGATAAGAGCACATCATAATGTGTAGACTTTGCTTGTTCAGACGTCTAGAGCAAACTTTACACCCTGAACAAAGATATGAGATTGAGAAAAGCAGTATTTGAAGACTGCAATAGAGCTATTGTAGATATCTATAGGGAACTTACGAAGTCGGTAAAAAGGAACAAGCAACTTGTACATGTGTCTGTAACCATTCGATAGTTTCATAAATTACGTAAGAAGGATGTTGACATCTGACGATTAAGATGATCATTTGTTCTGTAAGTTAATCATCTGATGTTCATAGAATCAGAATTTGTACCGATTGGCTAACCATATATTTTTATTGAACATTTTTTTATACAAACAAATGAACGCCTTTGTTATGAGGTGGTTCGCTCAATGAAAGATTGACAGAGAAATTTTGGCATTCAGAAGCGCTACCAGTGGAGGCCATGGCGTTAATGCATGAGTAAGTTAAATTGCTGTCTGATTCGAGCATTTGGCTCTTTGAAGCGCTACCAGTTGAGTCATTTTGATTGATCAAGTACGGCATCAACTCAATTATGGTGAAGGTGATAGTTTAAGCATATGACCTCATATTTTGATAGAGAGTAAACGGTTAAATTTTCTCCATCAACTCAACTGATTCAATCTATACTTGTTTAGATTAGATGGAGGATCAATTCTCACGGCCCTACTTGAAGTTGTACGTAGTAAGATACTGATGTTAAAAGAGGCATAGCAATTGTCTGTGTCCAATTTAAGTTGAATTTTCACCCTCAAATCAAAATTACTACGTATAACCCACAACGTTTACAGCAAAATAACATTACCCAAAAAGAGAAATTAGAGAGAAAAGGAATTGTCACGGGAAGTGGTTGCTTTAATTGTGGAGGACATATATAGAATCCATAAATCATATATTTTTTTCATTTCCCCTTTGCAAGGAAAATATGGGAGAAAGTCGGCATGTCCATAGATAATTTTTGTCTAACTTGCTATAATATGATGGATTAGTAGTCACAATGCTTCCTTCTGTTAAATGAAGGTGAAATAGAGATTGCGATTGGATTAATGTGGGGAATTTGGTATAATCGTAATCGCTGTAAAGTTGGTGATTGTGGGTTTGCTGAAGAAGTTATTATCTTTAATACTCATAGTTTGGTGAGAGAGTACTTGTTGGCAAGCAAAACTAGTATCGTGTTTACAAGTGATTCTCAAGACAGTTGGGAGCCCCATCCTATGGATATATTAAGGATAAATAGTGATGGAGCATTAAGCGAGGATGCGAGAGCAGATGTGGGAGGTGTATTTCGCGATCATCACAAGCTAGTACAAGCTACTTATGTCAAAAGGACATACAATAATGTTTCTATTTAATGAATAATGTTTCTATTTAATGGGTGGAAGGGATTGCGGTGTTAAAGGGAATGGAAGTCTGATGAGATTGGATTTCAGGACATCATGGTGGAGATTGATGCTTTAGAGATTATAGTCATATATCATGTGATGCTATATGGCATTGCAATTGATGAGATTAAAGAGCGGAGCACTCGATTTCAGAGCTGCATTTTCAAGCATTAGGAGGCAAGGAAATTGTATAGCACAGAAAGATTTATCTCTTGGCGAGCCTATTATCTGGAGGGATATCTCCCTTATTTTATACATCATTGTACTCTCAAGGTTTTTCCTTTAATTAATGA